ATTCTTATGTTTAAATAATAACGATAGATTAAATATGAGAGGGAGAGGAAAATCCCATAAGTTAAACAACACGGCACAAAATGTAAACAACGAGTTCTAGATGACTCCAACACATGTTAAACAAACTGTCAATGTCAAAATGAAAAGTTATAAGTCAGACACAAGTGATCATAAACAGGTAGAACTTTGACCCAAATGCTCATAAACAATCAATCTAGGGAAACAATTTTGGAAAAGAGAGAAAGATTTAAGAGAGATAAATCATTGCATATGATCGTTCGAGTACCCAGATGAAAAAAATTGCAAGTAACAGAGCTAAATTATGAGCGCGAGTCTAGCAATTTTGTCAACAACCCCCAAGAACAATCGACAGAACAGCGTCAAGCAGACACCTGGAATCAGACCCTTCCCGTGACCCGAGTCAGTCTCGGTTTTCCCCAAAACAAAAGAGAGACTAATCGGGAAGTGAGGAAGGAGATGAGGGGCCAATCAGAAATCCGAATAGTGGGAGAAAAAAACTATAAAAATCCAAAATTCAAGGTCGGAGGGAGGCTCTCCTCCTTATTCCATGAAAGGTAATGACTTATATTGTGGTGTATCGCCACCAAGAACTTTAGACTCTGCCTCTTCCTCCTTCTGATCGTCTGCCTTGCTCAGCAATCTTATCTCGTCCGCCCCGGGGCCAGACAGACACTGAAGTTCTCGCCTCTTCGCATCTTTGACGAGAAGAACCTAGTGAAGGATTGTCAATGTAAGCATATTTTATACTTCAAAATTTTAGTTTATTCCACCAAAATTTTCAAAACATACTCGAATAACACCGCCATTACTCGTCGATGTAAGCATAAATGTTAACAAATAAACGGCTTTCTTGTGTAAAACACTTGTCATCATTTGCCTCCGTCACAGCCCATATACAACCTTTCCTTAGGTTCATCCTGACGTGGGATTAATAGATCCCACCTAGGAGACAGCAACCTTACACAGGTGCCGTGGAGTGGGTTTCAAGTCTCCTATCTCCACCAGGTCGGCTACCTTACAATATTCACTGGACCTTTCTCTAACAAACTATCCCTTCTACTCTCCAGAAATCATCTTGAGGTAGAAACACTTCAGACAACAAGGGGATGTCGAAAACCTCCTCTTTGAATTTCTGTCTTACTTCTAAAATATCAGATCTTTATGTATGTGATATAAAATTATTCCTACCACATTGGCAAAAGCATGTTGAACATAATGGTTTTCATTTTTCTTATTTCAATTAAATACTGTACATTGCTTGAGGGTGAAGCTAAGATGTTTTACAGTTGACAATTAAAAACTAAATATACTCTTGATGACCTAATATATATTAATTTTACAAATTTAACATGGTTTTAAAAATTTTGACTGGAACATATAGCTTAAAAGTAAATACAGTTAGTTCAGTTAAGCAGAGTTTGGATTAGTGAGATTGACTATTATTAAAAAATCCACTGAATTTTAATATTATTTGAAAAATTATATGACATTCAATGGAAATTATACAAGATATTCAAAATACATAGTCTCATTAATTTCAAAGTATAAAATTTTTTTTTGCTTTGTCCTTATTTTAAAATAGAATTGTTGTCTTAAATCTATTAATTTCAAATGTGATATTTTAATTTCTTTTCAGCTCACAATTTACATGGTGTTCATGGATATATAGCAGGCAAAAGGTAAATTTTTTAAATTTTGATATCAATTAATTTTCATAAATTTTTATGTTGGGTAATAAAAGTTACTTTTTCTTTTTAATGCCACATTTTTCACAAAAGTTTCTGAATTGTATATTTCACAAATAGTTATGGGAATATGCAGATCATCTGATAAAGAACTGACAGATTATAGAAACTCAAATTTATTTTAGGAAAACAGATATAGACACATGATTTATTCTAATTAGTGAGCAAATTGAGAAAGATTTCTCAGCTTTAAGAAATTTTAATGTGTGCATCATGTGTCAATCTCACAATATTGAGACAATATTCAGTCTTTCTCCGTATTATATGACATGTTTTGAATGAGTTTCACTGCATTTATTATGCAACCTTTTAATTTTCTATATCTGTAACAGGCATTAAAGTCAACTTTATCAATATTTTAATGCCTATCTTGAACGTTACTAAATATATTTATAATAATTAATTTTAAAAACTAGTTCAATTTTCAAATGTTTTCTGTTATAAAATTAACAGAAAATAAAACAAAAGATTGAATTTTAAAAAACTTGACAATGAGTAAAAATAATTTATAAAGAATTCATATAAATGTGTGTATACACTCATAAATAAATATGGTATTTGTTTCTTCATATATAATTTTGATTTTTATAATGTTAAATGTTAACCATAATTGTAAATATTTTAGGTCTGCTGATGCATCTCCTAGTACCTTATCACCACAACCAAATAAAATTACTCTTGATGATTTGCGTTGTAAACAAAGTAGTTTTAATTCAGAAACATCGGGTATCTCTGGTATATCAAGTATATCAAGGTAGTTATATGTTTACTTTTGTAGTGTAATACAATTATTATTATTATTTTATTTACAATTGAGTTACCCTTATGAAAATAATTATTTTATTGATTTCATAAAGATTTAAATTAAGAAAGTTGATCAATTTTATAATTAAATTATGTAGTGAATCTTATTTCAAGCAATAAAATAATAATTAATCTTGAATTTTTCTAGTATTTAATAGAATACAAAATAAATTTAAGATGATAATTGTATGCTAATTAATTATTTTATGATTTTATTAACTAACTTAGAATTATATAGGTTTTATGGTTAATTTTGTTGTGCTCCTATTTTCAAACATCATCACAAGTTATTTTTAATTGTGCTGTTTGTATTTGATTCAGATACTTGGCTTCAATTTTGTGTCAATTGTTTCCTTAAGACATTTGGTTATTTTTATTGTGTGAGTGAAAAAGTATAAAAAGCATTTCAATAATGCATTTCTTCTGCTGTAAAAAGTAGTCAAATTCAATTGCAAAAACTTATACCTTTGTCATATTACTGATTCATTAATATCTGCATTTTTTCAGAGAACATTACACTTAATTCTTGAATAGTTTTCTTGTTACTACTGTATAATCATATCAATTAGTTCATTACTCTAATTTTACTTATGAAGATAATAAATATGATTGAATTCATGTGATATAATATGGAATAAAGTTTATTTAGAAATATTGAAATATCAGTTAAACTTGTATAACTTCTTTAAAAGAAAATTAAGATATTCTTAATCATAATTTATATGTAAATAAATTAGTATAGACTAGAATTATGCTTTACAGATATTTTAATAAAGTGTTTTGAAAGCATTGTTGTAATTTATAATTAGAAATTAATAAATATTAATTTGTTTTCAGTGTTGAATCTCTTCTTGAAGCTCGTAGAGAGGATCCAGAAGAGATTTTATTAGCACTTGGATTTGGTGGAAAGCAGAGTTATGATCCTCTCTCTAGGATTCCTCAACGCTTCTTGAAACAGCATTCTCAAGTTCGAGGAGTTGATATTAATACATTTTTACAACAGCAAGAGGATTTATATCATCGACATGATAACAGTTCTCTTGGCTACATGGGTCTTTCAGGTCAGTATGAATCACAAATTGGAAGTAGTTGGAGCTTGCCTGCTATGAGCAAGCAAGAGAACTGTATAAAAGATATTATCATACGAAATATTGATTCTCATTCAGAAGGTGCACGGAAATCTAAGAAAAAAATGGGTGTTAAATTTGTAGATGGTGTAGATAACGAATTTTTACATCAGCAATCATCTGACGATAAGACAATTCCTTGCATATCTGTGACAATAAGTTCTGAAGATTCAAATCAAGTTCATGAAACAGAAAAAGATTGGTGGCAGCAATATGTAGAAAAATCTGATGTTACAGTTCTTAATTTTAATGATATTCAAAGTAATTGTAACTATTCTTCAACTGACATTTGTGGCAGTTTTAAGCTTCAGTCATCTCAGAAACGTATGATTCATTCAAGTTTAGTTTAGTCAAGTATTTTTTTAATAAAATGTTTGGAAGTAATAGTTACTATGGAATACTCTGGCTGCCTTTGTTTTGTATTAATGTAAATATCTGAAAATATATTTGAAATTTTTAAATATTATTTTAGATTATAATATAAAAATAATAAATTTTAGTGATTATTGTTAAATATATTACAATAATAATATCATTGACATCAAAAACAATTTGAATTCATTAAATTTTTTCAGAATTATTTTTATTTTGTTACAGGTTATGTAAGTTTGTTATAAAATAAGAGTCCAGCTGTATCATTTGATCATAAATTAATATTTACTTATTACTATAACAATATAAAATTTATTAATTATTTAATAATAAATTTTGGAATTATTTTATTTATCTAACTATTCTAGATTAATGGTAACTTTTTCTGTGCATTAAATATAATTTTTTTTTCTCCATCCAATGGATAAAAATAAGCTATATATTATACATTAAATAGGTTCAGTAATTTTAGTGTCTTAAAATTTTTTTACATTTCTATCTTATTGTGTAGCTGCACAGACACAGCACAATGGAAAACAAATCAAAGTGCACAAGACAAAATAATGAATTCAAATTTACTATCTGATGATGATGATATGAGCAAAGTATCTCATAATAGAAAATAAATGAGAACACAAAAATTAATTTACATTTTTGAGATATTTGTAATTTTTTTTAACAATCTAGTTTTTATTATTTGATTTGATTTTCAATGTTTTATAGATAGAAGGCATATGTGAATCATTCTGTAGAATATCTATACATTATCATCTGATTCAATATATGCATGAAAAATTAAATAATGAGTATTTCAGAAAAATATATAAATTTGTGTGTGTGACTATACTATTGTGAGACTGCTATTAAGTATCACTATTGTACACTATTGTATCACACTAGTAAGAGATGAAATCTACATTCTAATTCAATTATATATGAAAAAAAATTGTTAGATTATAGATTGGATTTGAATCTGGGTCTCCTACTCTAATATAATATTTTTTAATGAAAATTCATATATAAGATTGCTAATTTTTCATTTAAAAGTAAGCTTTATTTAATGATGACATTTTGCTATATATTATATTTATACTAATCTATAGTATTATGCATTTTATTTTAACTGTTATATACTATGTATTGAATGCCACTTTGTGTTTCCATTGTTTGCTATCTGTGTAGTTAAAAGGAGTTGAAATTGAAGTTGTTAATACTGTTACATTTATATTAACATAAAACTTGAAATGTGTGCCAAAAGTTTATTTTGAATGATAAATTAAACATCAATAATCAGTATTATAAATATTATATAACTTTTATAAGTTAAACTATATGTATTTAAATATCTTTAGAGCAATACTTTGGACAGCAATTATAGCTTGTATTTCAACTTGTTATTTTAGAAATTTAAAAACAGTGAATTGCATTGGAAAAATTTTGATCATATTTTAAATTTTAACACTAATCATTGAAAAATAAAGGAAAAATTAAAATATTTTAATATAATTTTTTTAAAAATATATCAAGAAAAACTATTACAGTACAGCGTCGTTTATCTGAATCAATTGGGGACTGGGGTTGTTCGGATAACTTATTTTTCGGATAACCGATTATGTACGAAAAAATATATTAACCTATCCCATGTTGAAATTTTTCTCCGTTGCGTGTCGCTTCGCGTTGAATTTTCGTCGATGTTAAGCCTAATGTAAACTTTTTAAAATAATAATCGTGGCTATTGTATCGTTAAAAATTATTTCTTTATTTTTTACAAACAAAATAAATATATTGAAAAATAAAAAAAAAAAAATTAATACTTTAGAAGTTATCTAGTATCAAAAACATTCGATTCACATGACACACAGTCCTCAGAAAAACACCACACAAAAGTGACAGTGCTGCCAGCTAAAACACATACACAAACATAAAAAATATTGGAGTAGCCCAAGATATAGCCAAAGATTGCAGCGCCACAGCACTAGCGAAATTTTAAATTTGCCGACTGGAATTCTTTCGGATAACTGACATTTCAGATAACCAACTTTCGGATAAAAGACGCTTTACTGTATTACTTTTAAAATAGAGTTTGCATTACTTTTTCTTTTAATCAGTCTTAAGACAGTAAAACCTCACTTTGTGACCATTTTAGTTGTGTGGCCACTTTTGAAATTCTCCTGTAAAACTGCATAAGTTTTAATATAAATCAAACTCAGTACTGGTAGCCATAACACTTAAACAACGAAGATAGGAGTATCCTAAAATTATATTTATCTCTGCTCACATGGCCAACAGAACAAGAAAACCCAACATTCCTAAATTCAATGTATTGTTTAAAGTGCTTTAAATGGAACTGATTGTTGTTACTATAGTTTTGGAACAGTTTGCTGAGATTTCTAACAGGATGACAGTCAAATAAAATATATCTTCATTTACACTTGACATATTAAATTTATCTCTAGAAATTAGTAAGAAGAAACTATTATATATTTGTTCAATAATTTTATACAAAATCTGATTATATTTTGTAAAAATATTATGTAAATCAGCAATGATCAGTCTATTACTGATTTGTCACTTGCAACACCCAATGAAGAACAACGTCAATGAGCCTAATCTATATATATAATCGAGACGGGTTGATAATAATAATAAGTACAGAGCCCAAACGGTTAGGAGTTGAAAGTTGAAATTTGGTACACAGTTAGGGTACATCACAAAAACGCACACTAAGAAGGGATTTTTCGAAATCCCCCCCAGAGAGAGAGAGAGAGGATTAAGGCTTCTATATACATTATGGATACTAGCCCAAACCGTTAGGAGTTGAAATTTGGTACACAGTTAGGGTACGTTATGAGAATGCACACTAAGAAGGGATTTTTCAAAATTCCTCCCCACGGGGGGAGGGACAGGATTAAGGCTTAACACTTCCATCAACAATGGAAGTGTTAAGCCTTAATTCCAAAGCCTTAATTCCAAGCCTTAATCTGGCTTTCTCTTAACAATTCCATTGTTACTTAACACTTCCATCAACAATGGAAGTGTTAAGTAACAATGGAATTTTTAAGAGAAAGCCAGACGCATATGCAGTTTTTTCATTTTTGTGGGAAATCGAATTTTTAGACCCATCTAAAAATTCTCTAATTAGTCTGGAAACAAGGGGACCCAATTCTTGCATTCTGTGAAATCGAACATATTTTTAGACCCATCTAAAAATTCTCTAATTAGTCTGGAAACAAGGGGACCCAATTCTTGCATTCTGTGAAAACGGGTAAGATTGGCTATAATGTAATAATCTTAATCTTCGCTTATCGTTACTTTTTGCTCGAGCAACGCCGGGCTTATCTGCTAGTTATTAATAGTTTAATTGACATTTGGACACTTTGCCTATTTAGTGACTTCCTTTTAATAATTTTTTCTGAATGCTCTTATTAAAATGCAGTATTTAAATAAAACCCTTACTATCATTTCATAAACATATTGATTCTGTCAACATATACTAAACAATTTTGTTCAGTATTGTACTGTACAGTACTTGAATGAAGCCTTTGCAAGTAGTTGGCATTCACTATACATATATTCTGTATGAAAGATTGAATTACTGTATGTCAATGAATGTACAGTATTATGTGAATTTATTTTATTTATTGTTTACTTTTATAATCTACATTAAACTTTTAGCAGGATACAGTTTGGTACTCTAATTTCAGTTTTATATATCAATTTTTTTATAACCCCACCTAGTCCTGCGTTAGTGCACTGAATTTTTTTTCAGCATTAATGCAGTGGGGTGTTTGTCCACCCCGACATTTTTTTGGGTCCATAAACCATGTAAGTAAAAATTCATAAAGTTTTACTCATTTATTTGGTAAAGGCATGTGTCATTATACATATGATTATATTCAGGTATGATTACATATTATATTAGTACATAAATCCATGAAAATAAAAAACAACATTTATCAAAACTCATTACATTAGATCTTATTATTAAACCAGTAGTAAAGATCTAAATTGTTTTTTTAAGCATTTTTGTCACTCTGATTTAATAGCTGACATTGTACTTTGGCACTCAATGCAAATGACAAGCAGCTTGCTATGTTTGGTATTTTCTCAGTGTGTTTATGAAAGTCAGCCATTTTGAATTTGTAAGGGAATAAAACTAATTAAAATAAACTTATAATAATCAATGTGAATAAAAATA